CTCTCGCTCTCGCTCTCGCTCTCCCTCTCTCTCTCTCTCTCCTTTTTTGGTGTATATAATTTTGCCATCTTCCCACTTATTTTTAATTGTTATCTGACTGTGAAATGTGACTCCCAGCTATGAATATCTCATTCTGTGGCTTTGTTTTTTATCTGCTGTCCTTTACATTTGATTTGCCATTGTTCCATACAGATTCTCCATCCTTTAACACGCAATTATGGTAAACCATGGTTGACAAACAGCAAAATGTCAACTCCTTGTAAGCCAGCAGAGTGCCCAGACTTTGCCGTGTCATCTGCAGAGGTATTGTAAGGCCCCAGAGCCCAGCCTTAACCGTCTTCTTTAATTGGAACTATCACCCACTAACACTGCCCACCACTCCCTGTGTACTTCTGATAATACTGCATCTTTGTATAGACCTTTATATAATGAATATCAACCTGGCTGTTCTTCGAAGATGTAAGAGCAAGGGGTGAACAAAAGACAGTATCAGCTGACATCGTCACACCTGTAGCTCTCCCTCCTACTTCATTCTGCTGTCTCTCTCCCAGATGAACAAGACAGGATATTATATTCAAACCTAAGTAAAATTTCTTTTAAAGTAGATATAGTGTTTTTGAACATAGGCATCATTTGGGCAAGAAATGCGAACTGCCCCCTTTGGGTGGGCGTGAGAGACAGTGTCATTGCAAGAGAACCACTTTATTGAAAATAATTCTAGTAAATGCTTGCAATGGTCTTATTGCTTCTGATTGGACAATCAGTTATTTCTGCACAACAATGTGGGTGCATGTGACACGTTGATCAGTGGAGGGATAGCATTAGATTTCTAGAAAGTTCTCTCACTTCCCAAAGGCACCTTTGTTAGATTTCAGTAACTAACTTCTCTATGTAGCATGATATTTAGGCCTAAGATATTTAGGGGCTATAAGATTTACCAAGAATAACTCCTATATCATATTCAATTAAATGTTAACTATGTATCATTTTAACTTCTTTGTGAAATGGTCCCAAAGAATCACATATTTTATTAGTTACAATAATTGTGGAGGGAAACTTACTAAATATTCTCTCTTGAAAGAGGTTATTTTCACTTAAATAAAACTCAAAGGCCAAGAGTTTTTCTTGTGCAAAAGAAATACAGTATCTTTAACAAGTCCTTTCTGCTTATAAACACTAATACTTATTCCTCCCATCAGTAATGAGAGGTAGCTGAAGAGTACATTACCCTGATAATTTCATGGCAGTCCCATTGCTGCTGTAAGTGGTAGAGTTACGAGAGAGACGCCCCATTCTTCAGCTTTCCTTGTTCCTTCCCCTTCATTTTTCTGTGCTCCTCACACCCATCCCTGCCCTCTGACGGGACCATTAGGACCAAAGCTGACATCGAGAGGTGTCTATCCGTCGTTATGGATGGATTGTAGCAACAACTGAGAAGACTTAACAAGAGTTCAGGTGACACACATGCAGTTAGATTGAAGTATAAGGTGAATGACTAAATAAAACAGTTACTACCATAAAAGACACATTACTATAAGGCATACTTATTCCATCATTCTTGCCATTTCTTGAAGCATTCAGTTCTGAAGTCTTTTTGTGAGTGTTTTTAGGTGGTATGAGTGCCGTCCAAACAGAAAGGCAGGCTTGGAGGAAAGCTTTGCGGTGTGGCCTCTGCTGCTGTCCTCCCTGGGTCTGGCACCGGCCAGATCACGCTCTTCCCCAGTGAGAGAACCATGAAAGGTCAGGATTCGGAATCCTTTCAGGACCTGGTGGGGACAGCAGCAGCACAACTAAAAATGCTCAAATGAAAGGACTTCTAGAACTGTCTCAGAAAGTGGCTGGAGTGATGGGACACGTGTGTTTGAAGGAAATGGGGAGTTAGTAGAAATGTGTTTTTCACTGTACTGATTTTTTAAAAGTCTAAGTCTTCACGTTTTTGGGTTTTTTTTTTTTTTTTTTTTCTGGAAGTGGGGATTGAACTCAGGCCCTTGCGCTTGCCAGGGAAGCCCTTATTCTCGCCATCTCCCTGGCCCTTTTTTTCTTTTTTTTTTATCATACCTCATATTAATTTTTTAAAAATATTCAGAATTAAAATGCTATGTTCAATTTTTAGAAAATAAAAACTCCCCCAAATTAAAGTACATTATTTGGACTATTTTGAAATTACATATTTCACTTCAAATAACCTCATTAAATAAAAAGCAACCAAACCAACCCATAGCAGTATGCTTCTGTAGAAGGATCTGTGACAAGTCAAAACAGGGCATTCTACAAAGAAAGATTTTGGTTTTTCATGGTCGTAACCTCTGCCACCATGACTGGTATGTGCTCATGCCTCTTTGTGGGTTGTTCATTTTTTTTTTAAATTAGAAATTTAGCTAGTCAGAATTTTTAGATTATGTCTTTTCTTTCTCAGATCTGTAAAAGAGGGCTGGTAAGATAGCTCAGTGGACTAAGTGCCTGCTTTGATCCCAGCACCACATGCCGCCCCAGCCCAGCCCCGGGGGCCCTGAGCCAAGCATTGAAACCAGGCGTGGTGGTGCACACCTGTAATCCCAGCGCTGAGGAGGCTGAGACAGCAGGATCACTATGAGTCTGAGCTGTGCAGCGAGACCCTGTACCAAATTCATTAAAAAAAAAAGTATTTTGAACATGTGAACATTGCACGTATAGCAATCATACATGAATCCCTCGAGTGTATGTAGTATACCTTAGTGACTGTTCAAAATATATTAACATTAGTAAATTCAATTTTGTTGCATCAAAATGTCCTGTGTATTAAGCATTTAAAATTATCTTTGTAGAGAAAATTATTTTTTAAATGTACATATAATCTGTACAGATTCATTATCTACAGCTCCTTGGCTATATACTAATGGAGGAATACAACATGTCTAGCTAGTACTCTTAAAGAGCTCTTTTTTTCAACTTTGTCAGAATATTCAAAGTGTTGTAATCTAGAAAACATGCAGTGATTTAAGACTCGGTGTGTAAAATTCTATAGTTGCTTTTACATTCTACACTAATTTTAAAATTATCCCCAGAACTTGCCTGCAAACCATATAAAACCACAAAGGCTGAGGAGCTGAGGAGTGAAACAGCCTGGCACCAGGGAGCATCCCTTCTTTTCCCACTGTGCAGCTCAGTTTGTGTCACTGATGGCTCTAGCCATCATTTACTTGCTTTTTCATTCTGTTCCTCTTTGTGTGCCTCGGCCTAGTTCCCTAGAAGCCCTGTCTTCGGAGTTCCATCCCTTCCCTTCCACGGCAAGCCCTGGTCTTTGCAGAACAACTCTCGGGATTGCAGGGCACACTCGCAGTCTGGAAGATCCTATTTGTCTTTTCTTTTGCCATCGCTTTTGTGTTATATTGGGGACTTTCTTTTTTATTTCTCTTTGACCACAAATTCATTTCCTTTGGAAGGTTTCTTTTAAACTTAGAATAAAAAATGGGAAGCAGCAAGCAAGAGCCTTTTGGCTTAAACCTAAACCGAAAAGCTCCCACTTTCTGAAGAAGTCTTGGCTAGGTGTCCCCCATCTGTAGAGAAGGGGCGGCAGTGGAAGGTGGGGAACGTGAGGACACTCTTGACGTGTCTTTTCTCGGTTCAATGCAGGGCACACCCATCCAGGGCAGCAAGCTGCGGCTTCCGGGGTACTTATCAGGGAAAGGCTTCCACTCTGGGGAGGACAGTGGCTTGATCACCACGGCTGCTGCCCGGGTGCGCACACAGTTCGCCGGTGAGTAAGGTGGCCTTTATTCATGGCTTTGCAGTATCCTGATAGGAAGATTAATACGGGAGGAAGGCCTCTTTCTTGCCAACTGGGAAAGAATTACTTTTTCATTTATAGCACCAGTGGTCAGGCCTTGTAGGCGCTAGACAAGTGCTCCGCCAGTGAGCCGCCCAGCCCAGGAAGGCAGTTCTGAGTTGCTGCATTCCCAAAGTGACATGCAGACTTAGACATCCAGCGAGAGCGTGGGCTGAGTGGGTTTCAGGAGTGAGCAAACGCAGAACACCTTTAAGGTCATACTAAAGCAACCTAAGAAAACGATTGCAGACCAGAAGCACAGAAGGCACGGTACTCGACCCAGGCAAGCGGGACAGCCTGAGCTGCTGCCTGGAGCCAGCAGCACGCTCTGTGTCAGGGGTGGAAAGCCCAGGCATCCTAGGCCTGACCACAGCCCTCCTCACGTATCATCCCAGAACAGTGAGCTTTGGAATGCCTGATATCTGATCATAGCCAGACTGAAGCATCTTTAAAGTTTCAACTCTCTGCTTCTTAATTCCTACATTCTTTGAGTACCTTGTCCTCAGACAGCACTTAAACCTAGAGTCTGCACCCGTGCGATGGAGTGGGTGCACGTGGGGAAGCCTTAGAAGGTGTAGCTCCCGTGACAAGGCCGTTCCTCCTGGTGGTAGTAAATGGAACCCTGTTTTAAGTAGGGTACACCCATGCTTCCCTTTTGTGTCTAAATCCAGCTTTTGTCATATTCAGTGTCATTAGAGTAAGGCTCCCTGCCCTCACGTACCAGAGAAAGTATATTTTCTGAGCACTTAGTATCAGAGAGAAAGGTTGGCGTTCAAGGTGTGTCAGCTTTCAAGCCTGAGTTGTGGAAGGTTCGGGAATGAGGTGATCCATCGCTGCCTTCTTCTCAGATCCCAAGAGGACTCCCAGCCGACCCGGAAGCCGCGCGGGGAGCAAAGCCGGCAGCAGGGCCAGCAGCCGCAGAGGCAGCGATGCATCTGACTTCGACATCTCGGAGATCCAGTCTGTGTGTTCAGATGTGGAGCCGGTCCCCCAGACACACAGACCTGCACCCCGAGCAGGCCCTCGGCCTTCCACAGGAAAGCCTTCCAAGATCCCCACGCCTCAGAGGAGATCACCTGCCAGCAGACTGGACAAGTCCTCCAAGAGATAGTGCAGTCCGCCCCTGTGGGCCTTGCCTGAACATTTCTTATTTAAGTGTGAACAGTGTAAAGTATGATGTAGAAATTCTTGTGAAATATCCCAAGAGATGAGTTTAAAATTCTGCAAATGGCCTTATCTGTGTATATGCCTTTTTATTTGATCTGTATCATTTTTTGGTCAGATATTTCGGGGCTGAAGTCACATCATATGTGACGGGGAAAGAGTCTGATGTGAGCTAACATTTCCACACCTAATGTGTACACTAAGCGTACACCAAGTCAGTTACCATCTACAGGTAAGTCTCTGTTCTCTCTGACAGCCACAGCACTACATTGATAGTTGACACTAAGGACACCCCATGATGGGTTTTCTTGTTTTCTGTGGAAATCCCAAACAGCCGGAAGACATAGACCAAGGATATATTTTAAGATGATTTAAATGTAAAATTCTGATGGCAGCAAGACAAACACATCCACACACAGTTCTTTAAGCAGTATCGGTCAGAGAACTCACAGGCGTTTACTTCAAGCACTTGACGGTACCGTAATACTCTAGTGTGGGGCAGCTTTTCTGTGCTGAGGCTTCAAAGGAAGCCAGCCGAAGTGTCCTAGGTTGGAGGCCCATTACACTGCGAGAACGTGGCCTTCAAGTGTAATCGTATAAATGTGAGGCTTCCCTTTGCTTGAGTGCGCAGTAGCCCCTGTACCATTGAACTCATTTTGTAACAAAGCGGTTTTTGCTTGCAAAAGCTATAAAATAAAAACATGTCCCTTAACTATATTGCTATGGAATTTTTTTCCCCAGGGAAAATTGGTGTGTGTGTGTGTGTGTGTGTGTGTGTGTGTGTGTGTGTGTGTGTGTGTGTTTATAAGCAGTATCAATTTGGAGTGACCAAGAGATACTTTAGAATGGGTTTATTTTATTTCTCATCTGAAATAACCATGTTCTGGTATATCTATATATTTAATAAATATATACATTTTAACTTATTATGTTTACTCACATACTATGGAAAAATATTAGTATGCATTTAATAAAACAGTCACTTGAATACATGGAATACCTGGTTATTTAAAGTGAATTTTTTTCTATTGTAAGTTCCATCCATGTACTACCTTGATGACCCTGTTTTTACAGGTTTCTGCCTCCCTTATAGTCAAGGAGGAATTAGTTTATGTAAACATAAATTGAACAAACATAAATTGAAACAAAACATAAATTGAAACCAGGGGATGTGATGGGATGACTGAATTTATTAAGGTAATTTGAGATGTGAACAAAACCATGGTAAATACTTAATATTTTAAGGATTTATTATAATAAAGGCCGATGAGATAGCTCAGTGGTCTAAAGCACCAGCTTCGGTAGGCACAGGGCATGCGGTTCAATCCCTGGGACCACATGCTGTGCCAGCCCCGCTCTCAGGGTGAGCTGAACCAGCCAAAAACAAAAAGGAAGAACTTAATACAATAAAAAACACATTGCAACAAATCATTCTCAAAATGTTCCCCTGAGGCAGGAGGTTAGGTCACAGAGACCTATGGGACGTGTGTCCAGCCAGCCCTGCACCTGAAACCAGGGTCTTAAAAGACAGCCTACACCTGATACCAGCCTGAAAGGAGGGAGATAAAAAGATAAACTCCAGTAAGTTGGTAGCTGCTGTCACTTTTTATAGGTGCCCACTCCACACTCTGCAGAGAGTAACTTTTCCTATTTTTAATTGGCCCACACTCACTCTGCCGAGTATATTTGCTTCCTGCTTTTAGTAAATGTAAAACATGACTATCTGGACTTTTTTTTTTCCCCTTGAGCAAGCAAGATAAAACAACAACAAAAACTCAACGAGGGGTTGGTGAGATGGCTCAGTGGTCTAAAGCACCTACTTAGAACAAGCTAAGCTAAGCAAAGCACAGGGACCACAGTTCAATCCCCCAGCACCACATGCCAGCCAGCCCTGCCCCCTGGTGGGCTGAGCTGGCCACACACACACAAAATAAATAAATAAATATTAAAAAAAAAAAAACAATGAGAAAACATCCCTAGAAGGAGACCTCAGGACCCCAGAATCTGGTAACAGCCCTTGCTTCAAACACACTTATCCCATCATTCTTGCCTCTTTCTGAAGCAGTTCTGGAAACTGTCTTTTGTCTCTACTTGGGCTGTTGTAGTGAGATTCATGACTTGGGTGAGACGCAAGACTTCATGTCGTGAGTCAGATTAGAAAACCTTTACCTTTCATGGTTATTGTGACTTGGAAAGACCCAGGTTGCCTGGTACCACACCAGTATTAGGGTGGACTGAAGACATTTATTATTTTTAACAAAAGTTCATAAATGATTAAGCTACAGGGTGTTCAAAAATATGGTGCATATTTAAAGGAATTTATTATAGTAAAGGACACTTACAGTTTATGTCTAGATATCCCTGCAAAACCTCATCAGTTAGGGTGGGCAGGTTTTTCATAGATGGCTGAATCTAGGGGTGTGTCATTGATTCATATACAATGCTGGGATCAGGATGCTGGGCTTAAGGGTGAGTGATCACTGGATCAGTCCACTGATGAACCGGCACTTCCCCCAGCCCCATAGACTGGATACGATACAAGGGACAGAAAGAGGCTTGTCTTGTTCTCTTTCTTTGCTGTCTTCTGCTGCAATGAGTGTTGCCCCTCTGCCATGTGCCACTGTGCCTGGGAACCATCTGATCATGGACTGAAACCTCGATAAACTGAGCTAAATGAATTTTTCCTCCTTTAATTTTGTGTGCTGAGCACTTAATCTCAGCAATGAGAAAAGGAACTAAGACATGTTGTCCATTAATCTGTCTCAAGATACTCTCCCTTGCTTCATAGACCATTAGCCCATCCTTATGTGTGTTTTTTATAGTAATAAGTTTTTTTTTTAATTTTCACTTCTCATATAGTGATACTCTTCTGGTTTGTGTATTCACTTAAAAATCAAATTTCAGAACTTTCCTAAATATGAAAATAGGCCAGCCAATTAATTCAGATTAAAGCACCTACAAATCTGGTGCCCGGGGTTCAATCCCAGGGCCTGCCGTGCTGACCCCGCCCCTGGGGCTCACTAAGACAGCATGGTGGTGTGCACCTGTGATCCCAGCTCTTGGGAGGCTGTAAATAGGAGAATCACTATGAGTCTGATGTAGTAGTAAGACACTAAACACCGTGTAGGCCCTTTCCTAAAATACAGGAAAAAAAAAGAAAAAAAAATAGCATCAACTATAATTAGAAAGATGGCAGATTGTCACTTTGGGCATGACAAGTCGTGGCATTCCACATAATGTGAGCCATGAATGACAGCAAGGCTAGATGAATTTGAGCACAGGGGTCTCACTGAGATAAGTCTCTGAGCCTTGAGCCAGGGAAGGTACATTTATTTTGGAACTCAACCTAAGGAATGTGTATAAATAAATCTAATGCTAACCCTAACCCCGAATCAGAACCTTAACATTAACCCTAACCCTAACTCTATCCTAACCCTAACTCTAACACTGTAACCCTAATGCTAAACATAAATGTTAACAATAACCATAACCTTAACTCTACTTTAACCCTAACAGTAATGCTAACACTAAGCTTAATCCTAACCCGAAATTCTAAACACTAACTCTAACTGTATAACCCTAAATCCTAACACTAACCCTAACCCTAACCCTAATTCATATCTGAACCCAAATCTTAACACTAACACTAACTCTATCCTAAAACTGACCCTAACCCTAACCCTAAATCCTAACACTAACAAACTTAACCCTGACCCTAACTCTACCCTAACCCTAACCTTAACACTAACTCTAACCCTAACCCTAAATTCTAACCTTAACACTAACCCTAGCCCTAACTATATCCTACCTCTAACCCTAACACCCTAAATCCTAACCCTAACCTTAAAACTAACCCTAACCCTAACCCTAACTGTATCCTAACCCTAACCCTTATCCTAAACACTAACCTTAACCCTAACTCTAACCCTAACATAAACCATAGCCCTAAAATTAACCCTAACTGTATGCGAACCCAAACCTTCAAACTTAACACTAACCACAAACCCTAACTTAACCCTAAACCTAAACCTAACACTAACCCCAACATTATCCTAACCCTAAGCATAACCCTAACCCTAACCTAACCCTAAATCCTAACCATATGCTAACCCTAACCCTAACTCTAATTCTAACCCCAACACTAACCCTAAATCCTAACACTAACACTAACAACTCTAAACCCTAAGTATAACCCTTATTGTATCTAACCATAACCGTAACCCTAACACTATAACCTAACTTTAACTCTAATCCTAACCCTAACCCTAACTCTATCCTAACCCTAAACCTAATCCTAACCCTAACCTAACCCTAACCATAACCCTAATATGAATGCTAACACTATCCTAAACATAACCCTAAGCCTAATCCTGACCCTAAATCCTAACCCTAACCCAAACCCTAACCCTAAGTCTATTCTAACCCTAACCCTAACCCTTATTATTTGTGATTCTAAGAGTGAGTTCTTAAAGGAGAAGAGCCATCTAAGGTCCAGCTCCTTTGGGAAGCACGGAACTCCAAAGGGTGTTTTTACATACAGCAAAACACAGAATGGCTAAAACTTCTCTTTGGTAACTGAAGTAATTCAAAGAGCCCTCTGTGCCAAAAATAGCAACTCATTCAGTCTCATAAGAAAAAACATCTGTGACATTCCTGCTTGTTGTGCAGAGTAGCTAGGGAAGGCTGTCATCTCTGCCTTTCTTTCATAAGGGATCTGAGGAAGTAACTCCTTTGAAGTCTTCAGTACCCTAAGTAGAGCTGATTGTTTCTGCACAATGGGTTGTGTTTCTAAGAGTGAGTCCATAAAAGCGAAAGGCCACCTAAGCTCCAGCTACTTTGGGAAGCAGGGAACTCAAATAACAGTTCCTGAATACAGCGAAACACAGAACTCCAGGAAAAACTTCACCTTGGAAACCAAAGTAATTCACAGAGCCCCACTATTCCAAGAATGGCAACTCACACAGTCTGCTAGTGAAAAGCAATCCTGAAGCTTGTTCCGTTCCAGCTCATTGTGCACAGAAATCAGTGAGTCTACTTTCTCTCCCACTCACCCCTAAAGGAAAGGAGGTGGTAAGATGTTGTAGGCAAGCAGTGCATTAAGTACAGTTGATGATTTCTGCTTGATCATTTCTGTTTCTTTTTTAAACTAACACTAACCCTAACCCTAACACACTAAAACTATCCTAACCCTAACCCTGTTACTCTAACTCTACCATAACCCTAACACTAACCCTAAAGAGTAACCTTAACCCTAACCCTGACACTAACACTAACTCTAAACCTAACAATAACCCTAAACTTATCCAACCCTGATCTAAACACTAACCGTGACCATAACACAAACCCTAACCCTAACCTTAACCCTAACTCTGTTGGAACCGAAACCATAACACTAACCCAAAACCTAACCCTATCCTAAACCTAATCCTAACCCTAAGACTAACCCTAAACTAACCCTAACCCTAACCCTAACACTAACCCTAACACAATCCTAACCATAAGCCTAACTCTAACCCTAAAACTAACCCTAACCCTAACACTACCTCTAACCCTAAATTTTAAACTTAACCCTAACCATGACCCTAACACTAACCCTAAATACTAACACTATCTCTAACCCTAAACTTAGTCTAACCCTAATGCTAACCCCAAACCTAAACTTGAATCCTAACACTAACCCTAACACTAACTCAAACCCCTAAGTATAACGCTTAT